CATTATTGAACAAATTTTTAATATATGTATATATAATAAATTATTTGAATATATTACTGAATAATCGTGTACCTTTTACGAGCTAAATTTTTAGGTTTAAACTTAGGTTTACCTTGTGGCTAGCTGATGGTATGATTCGAAGTGCTTTTCTTCGTTTCGCTTGATGGCGTAGAAGAAATATTCGTCGAGGAAGATGAAACACGGTCCTTGGGGAGACTACCATTCGGAGTTAATTTGCAGCTTTCTTCACTATTTTTTCTTTTACTGTCGTGTTCTATCATATTATTGTCAACGATTTTACTTGATTCGTGACGTTCATTCTTCGTCTGTTCTTTAATATTTTCATAAACCTGTATTTCGTTCTCTCTTTCTATGATACCTTCTCTGATCAGCACTTCTTTGAACGTAGCTAAAGTTTTACGGAGTGTTATACAGAAACCTCTGGACGCTGGTATTAATGGAAATTCTGATAAAATTTTTTCATCTACACAAAAGAGAAATAATTAAGATGATCGAATATATGTATTTTATATATAATTAATGAAAAATAAAATGCATAACATACCGACGTCGGATATTTGTTTGAAAGTCGTAGGTGTTACTGGTGATAACGGATGTTGATTGTTATGCTGTTCAGAAATTTCCATCCATAAGTCTAGGCGTTGCAGTAATTTTTTTACGTGCCTCTTGAAATGTCCAATAATAATATCTTTAAATACGGGCGGTGGGTGCTGTAATAATTTAGTTTGCGCTTGAACCAGTTTCAGTACGACCATTTCATTGTACATTCTTGAATTTTCTTTTCCCTGTTGAGAGCCTTTTTGTTTTTCAAATCCCGCTTCGTTAAAATATGGTTCGGGTACAAGAATAAGGCCTTGAATCGAGACTATAACTTGCAACAATGTCGAGGAATTTGTCCACACTTCGGTTCCACGACCAGACCACGTTCCAAGTAAGCTCACACATACTTTACCATCTTCGTACAGATTAGGATTTAACCTATCATTACAGTAAGAAATGTAATGGCAAAGTGGTGGAGCACAAGGGTAATCGGCGGACAATTGAAAATCGAAAAGAAAGAGACCATCTTCGTATGGTGTTTTCTCGGGTCCACGAAACATTACAGAATATAGATCTATTCTATCTTCAAATCCTTTCACCCATATTCCAGGTGGAAGTGAACTCTTCAAAAGTTTTAATTCTTTGGAAACAGTTCTGAAAAAGTTTGTGGGATCCGTAGGTTGGAACATTGTTAATTTAAATTTATGACTATCTGGCGCTGTTTCTTCTATAGAAAATCCTTCTCCCTCTGAGTATACTGGTGGTGGAATTTCTATCGGACATTCCGATGGTTCTTGTAACAATTCTATACGCTTTTCCTCTTCTTTCTTTTGCTTTTTCAAAGGAGATGATCCCTTTTCAGCGTCAGATAATGACATCTTTGATAATCCAAATCGTCTAGAAACTTCTGCATGCGCCAATACAAGTTGAGCTTTTATTAGAGTACATAATTTAACGCAAACCTGAGAACTGGCTACGTTAGAACTCGTTATGTGCATTTGCATCTTGGAGCCCTTATTCGCGTCTGCTTTTTCCACTGAAGGATCAGGTACATTATTTACATCTTCACTGAGTAGAAATTCTCCACTTGATTCACTCGAACCCGATTCTTTTTTCGAATTTTCTGCAGAATACAATCCAGAATCTTCAGGATTAGGATTAACGTTAATAAATAAATGATCAACTGATTCTTCGCCTTTTGCATTTTGTTTATTAATATCTTGGTCGTTTTTATTATCGATGGATTCTGTCATATCCGTAACAGTAGTAATAATTTTTTCACAAGGATTACTTCCTGATTGTATACTGCTGGAATTATCCGTATTGTCTTTTTCTATGTTTTCTTCTGATCCATCAGATTTGTGTGTAAACAATCTTGTTACTTGATCCGCCATACGTTGCGCTACATTTGCTCGACCACGTTCTCGGACCCTTTCCAAAAGTCCTTGGAAATGACTTTCATGGAAAAAAGAAGTACCCATAAGTTTATCCATGTATCGGCAATCTTTATAAACTTCTAACAATTTTCTCATAACTTCGGTTGTTTGAAGCGACGGATTTTGGGTAAAGATCTCTTCCAATCTAGACATTGCAATTCGAGCTTTCTCGATGTGTGCGGCTAATTTTGGTTTTATACTTTCTAGCTCTGTTTGTTCTGTACCATCAGTATCAGCAATAAAACAGTCTTCCATTTCCGTTTCCCATGACGCATCAGACGATACTCCTTCATCTCCTCCTTCATCACTATCATATTCACCTACTTTATACAAATCTTGAGGCCAACACATACTTACATGTCCGTCAACCCACCACACTTTAACTCGTCCTTCTGGATAATTATCTAGCACTTGACCAGCAGTGCATCCAGCATCTTCTCCTTCAAAATTAGCAATTCGAATTACTAATGTACCTGGTCTATACTGAAAGTCTGGATGATCTTTCAAATCGTATACACTGACTTCACGTTCTTCTAGTAAAGTTGGTCTAACAAATATTTATTGAGTTTAATACATTTGTTTCATAAACTTCATTAATTCCAATAAAAATTATTGTATTTTAATAGCAATTACTTACTGTGGACTTTGACTAGAAGTGTATGTTTTAAACCACTTTATTTTAGCTGTTCTTCCTTGATGGTCAACACTTTGAACTACACCATACATTCGAGATTCTTCTTTTTGATCAACTACAAAATCACCTGGGAAAAATTCTTTATCATCTAAATGATGAATTGGGTAAAGCTGTGTAGATGGAATACCTTAAAATAAGTAATACAGAAGATTATAAAAATTCTATACTATTAGAGCTAGTAAATAATTTAAAAAATTATTTATGTAGTACCAAATTCTACTGAACCATCCTGCCACACAACATTAGCTTTTGTATTTGTAGACAATGTTTCTACAACAATTTTAGTTCCTGGAATAAGTGGAACTGGTGGCACTTTTTTCCTTGCTTTACACAACTTCTTCTTCTTCAGTACTTTTGTCATCAAAGCTGGACCTTTTTTCTTTTTTCCCATAGATGACATACTTGAACATCCACTAGATACCTAAAAATATTCAAATATCCATTAGCTCTACAAATCGTGTAATAATTTAAAGAGTGATAAAAAATCTTACCGAAGCACTGTCGCTTTGCGAACCTGTGTCTTCTGTATCCCAATCATCAGAACTTTCAGTATGCTGATTTTGTGCTGGAGGCATTAGAGTATTATTACTTGTCACATTTTGTAAATTGTTAATATTATTTTGACCATTTTCTGTTTGCTGCTCATTAACCTTATCTTTCTCCTTTTTTTTATCTTCAGGTGGCTTTGTGATACTGATATTTGGACGTGTTTTCTTTGGACTATGTTTAGGAACTTGAAAAATGTCTCTTTGTTGCTTTCGCCATTGTTCTCGTGTAATGACGTTTTCATCACCTTTAATTACATAGAAATTACGATCTCCCACTTGCACAGTAGAAGGCTCAAAAACATTTAATAATTTTAATTTCTTCAAATTTTCTCCTTCAACTACAAATTTTGGTTGAGCTTGATCTGACCAAGCACCATCTTTTGAATAAGCTCTGCACAACCAGTGCACTCCTACCCAATCTGTTTCTACCTTTTCTACAATTACATTTATTAGTTTCAACGGTATAATTTTTCTCTTTGCTTTCAATTCTCTTGTACATGTGATCCACTGTGCATGATCTAGGCAGTGAACTGGTCCCCACAAACTTTGACCAGGATAAAATTCAGAATGAGGAAAGTCATGTTCCTAAAAAAATTTCATTATATTTTTAACCAAAGTACTATTCTGGATTTGATTCTTACATTATCACGCCTCTCCTCTAATTGTCCTAATACGCGAGAATCCATTTCATTTACAACACAACGAGATCCATCAGGTGTAGTAAGCCATAATTTAAAATGTGCCATTTTTATGCCACCAACCCATGAATCCATACAAACAGCTATATCTGTTGTGAATTCCTATAAATAGAAACTATTAATTATAATATATGAGTTACTTTGTTAAAGATAACTACCATAAATGTTTGATTACATACTTCCAAAGGAACTAAATCTTCACTCCTAATATTGGTAAGGACTTGTTTACTACCAATCACTTGAACACAAGCAGTAAGTTCAATATCCCTGCAGTATCCTCTCTGTGTATCCTTTCCTTTAATCATACGTCGTACAACATCTCCTGGCATGAGTGTTCTATCTGCTAAATGAACCTATAAATCAAAGTGAAATTTTTAGATAACTTTAACATTCTATTAATAATGAAAGATCACGGTTATTACATCAAATTTTAATTCAAATTTGAATTTAATTTTCAGTTGAAAATATCGTTCGCATGACAGGTGTCGCTTTTCATGAAATTAAAAACAAATACGATAAAAGTAATAATACAAAGAAATATTAAATACTATTTTATATATCGTTCATTTATCCAAACAACGCGTTATCGTTAAATATTAAACGTTGAATACCTTCTTTGAGCTGACCAATTCCTCAACACCGGAGGGATGCCAGACCACGCGAATCTCGCCCTTTTTTCTCTTTGGGCTCTCTTCACTGTCAGAACTTTCCTCGGACAAATCTTGATCGTCATTTTCCATAACGATTCCGAACACAACGTTACCTTTTTTGTCCACACGGTAGACGACATCTTCGTAAAAGTACTGACACTCTACCCCAAAGTTCGTAGCCATCTTTCCTCTGATCACCGAGTACTCGCTCTCTGCCGACGACGGCTGACAGAAGGTTACACAGCGCAACGGTTACGGCGCACGTCGCAAGCAGGGAACTTGACTCCGACCCCGAACCCGACCCCAACCCCGACTTAAGAATTACCAATTCGAGATGCCTCTTGACTGTTCTCACTGATCGAGCTATTATCGACTATTTTCGAATCGAGAATTGTTCATTTTTCCACCGTCACTTTGAAGTATCTGTCAAAATTGATTTGATTAATATTTTATTAAAGTACGCATATTTATAAAGTATATATTCTATAGTTTGCGTATGAAGCATATGCGTTTATGCATGTATGTGTTTGTGTGTTTACGCTTCACGTATACAAAGTATAGTTTATAAATTTACCTTGTTTGGTAATTACTTCAATTTGTCAGATATGTAACTTACATAATTCGAAATAACGCGAGGTGTAAGTACTCTGTTTGCAAGGAAAGTGGACACAAATTTTTTAAATAATTAACGATTATTATGATAATTAATATTAAATTTTAAGTAA